GCAAACATGTATAAATGCAAATGTCACTACAAATTCCTTATTCCGTTTTATTTAGAATTGACCATCTTTTGCCTCATGGGCTAGAGAAAGATGAAGAAGCAATAATTTTTTTCAGATACTTAAAACAGATTCTCAACAGCATACTTTTGAAGAAGTAGCAAAATTTCCTGCCACAAGTGGAAAGTGAGACACAAGATGCAAGAGCAACAGCATCCAGAGAGTCCCAGTCAAAGATTCTGAAGCCTTCTGAAGAGCCGGGACAATACTGGAGTGGAGCTGAACAGAAGTGACATCTAACCATTCAAAACAGTGGGCCAGCGCTCGTACTACCATACATAGTGGTTTTCTTATATGAAGTGGTACCTGACAAAAAGTATTCTTTTAGTAGTTTGTGCATAATTTGGCAAACACAAGTATCTAAAGAGGCAATGTTCAGACAGCCTGCCACATAGCATGCTTATGTCCCAGTCCCAACTATCGCTGGGTAGAGAAGAGCTCTCTGGCAATGGAAGAAGGTTACCAGAGGACTGGGACCTATGAGGGACACCAAGACCATTGCAGAAGCACAGGCTTCTGTGGAGGTGTAGCCCAAGTAGACTAACTCTCATAAATTTTAAGCACACTAATCAGGATATGAGCAGTATTAGCTTGCTTTGAGCTCAAATGCAAGCACACTGAAATAGTCTACTCAATAGCAGTAACATTTGACGGCACAGCCATGTACTATATATAAGCATTTTATTAAAGTATGTGACAACGTAACAAACAAAGAGAGAAACTGGGACTTGCGCTCCGGTGTCACAGAAAAACATGCAACCAGTGACCGTAGTAACAAAATTTAGATGCACATCCTCAGCATGAAGTGCATTGTCAATGAATAAATCTAGTAAAGCTTTATTTTGAAGTCTAAAACTGGCTTATCAGAAGACTTACCATTCTTCTAAATACTCTCCCCACAGCTAATTTCCTAACTGATGCGTATATGCACACACATACTCAACTGCAACAGAGAAGACCCCAGCTTCCCTGTGATCTATGAGGTTTGCAGTAGACCTTATGCCCTTTAGATACGTAATAAAGTACAGAGTTAGGTCACACGACGTGATTAAACGCAATCCGACCTGGGTGGGATGCAAACATCAGCTTGAAGCCCTAGAGTAATCAAGAATGAAAGTGATAACAGATGCCTAAAAAACCAAGCTAAAGTAGTAAAACACAAAAAAATATGGGTGACAAACTGTGTTCCTGTAGATTTTAATGCTTCTTTTAAAATCATAATTGGCACTAATTGCACTATTTACATGTTAATGCACAACACCTGGCCTCAGCTGGATATAGAGGATATAGAGGCTCTCACCTCATTGACAAGGAATTGCATGTACACAGTCTTACAGAGGTGGGCTTGCCAAATATAAGGCATCGATAATTAGGACACTGTGAAAGCAACCTAACTTATTCACAAACTTTAAACAAGAGCAAAGCTACTGAACATTCATTTTGAATTATTAAAGAACTAGACTGAAACTAAGTCTGAAACGCACAGATACAGGAGAAAAATAAAAAACAAGAGACAAAGCGTGATTAAGGAACTTGTCTTTTGACGTAAAAGAGGGCATGGATGACCCCTCCCCCCCCAAAAAAATCCCAAAACAACCAAACAGAAAGATAGGATAGGATAGGATAAAAGTGGATAGGATAAAGTGGATAGGATAAAAAGTACGAAAAAGCAATTCTAGCTGTTCCAGCTGAATGGGTATTCTACTATATTATCCTTACAATAAAAGCCTGCATGCTGCAGCACTGACAAAGGTAAGTACCCTCAGAAAACTTCAGCAGTGAGAATAAAACAGTGGAGATGAAGCTCAAAATTTCAACTTACCTGATTTCTAACTAAACAGCCTTCTTCCTACAGAGTTGACCTGGACCAACTGAAAACCACATTACTTCTTATTTTTGTTTAATCAGTGAGCCATTTCCCAAACAGCTACTCTAAAAAATGTCCAAGCTAATTCACTTTATCCGTTTTTTCAACAAAATTACAGATGCTATATATACAAGCACTGCTCCTGAAAATGCTCATTTATTGTTGCTAATGACCACAACTTGAAGAGAAAGAAAAGCCACTGATGTATGCCTTATCCAAGTCCAATGTACGCCAACCTTTTCTGACTGGCATTCACACTATAGCAAGGCCTGAAGGATTCTGCCCAGCTTCTGTAGATCAGATAAAACATAATCTCTAGATATGATCTAGTGAACTCTCTGTCTCTGCTGGCTGTACATTTAGATTTCCAAATAACTCTAAATGGATTTCTGTATTAAGTATGTTCAGGAAATATTTATTTGAGGTTTAATTTTCAGTTCTGCTCTGTTTCAAAAACTTAGTAATATCCTCTTGAACAGAAACACAATTAACATAATTAGTTATATGTTGCTAATTTTACATTGTTTAAAAACATTGCTTCAATTGTTGATTTTTTTTTTCAATATTCTAATTAGCAACCCCCTAAACATTATTATAGTTCAAATTAGTATTGTCCTACATGGTATTTATCAGAAAAATTATGCAGAAAACCTAAATCCATTCAATACCAGTGTTTGATAAGAACAAACCATACCAAACTGCTATTACTGACATGCAGAGAGCATTTACGTATTAGAAAATATAATTGCATACAATAAAACTCAGCTCATGTCAATTAAAACATGTTCAGAATAACTAAATGTAATTTTAATATTGTACAAAATAGAATAAAAGCAAATTCTGTTAGACATAACTTTCACAATGAACACAACCTCAAGGGACTTACTCTGATCACACTTTAACAAAGGACAAACAAGGAAGATGTGTTTAAAAGAAAGGGCCAGCCATAGCTGGAGGAAAAATTGTCATGTTTCATTTAGAAAAGATTTATTGCAAATCAAAAGTCACATTTTAACAAAGACTTACTTTTAATCAGGGTTTACTAACATACTGTAGGAATAAGTAGGACCACAAATTATGATACATTTAAAACAAAGGTATGCAATGTAGAAACAAATATGGCTCACTCGCTCTTCCTACTCAACTACTAGGAAGTGTTACTATCTACAAGCAAGGTTTATGATACAGTAATAGATAAATACACAAAAAGACATAGATGTTAGAGGGAAAACAAAGACTGCAGGAGGAAATGTAGAAGTTGTAGGAAGTACAGTTACACTATCAGCATTACTTTAAAGAATAAAGATGGATAAAATAGGTAACCAGCTTGTATATAAACTACACGCACCAAACATGAATGAAATTTCCTCAGGTCTTACCTATCCAGAGCGATCAGCCTTCCTGTCAGTATCTCCATAGGGAGATGCTTTTAACGCTACTAATAAGTTTTGCTTTAAGTTCTAGCGGAGACACTGTGTGTTGAGTGTGCCTCTCAGTTTTCATCCTAAGAGCCTTTCAGTAGCGTTTTATTGTCTCTGCAGATGATGCGGTGAAAGACAGAGGAAAACTAAGGACACTTGTATAATTAATATAATACCTAATGAGGAAGATCAGTGCAAAGTCATCATTGCAGAGGTACAAATACATTAGCAAGTTAAAAGACATTGTTTAAAAAAAAAAAACAAAAAAACCCCAAAACCACAAGCAGTTCTGAGAAAGTCTCTGAAGTCAAAATTATCCCAATTTAGCCTATTAACTAGGAAAAAGGCCACTGAATTCCCTATACACATCCTTCCCAAGGACACTTAAGAGTTCAGTCAAATTATGGAGCTACATCTCTCTCTGGTGATGCAATAGAGAAATTATGCTCCCAGATGAACACAGTCTTGGTAAACGCCCAGGGTACAGCAGGGTGAGCCGAGAGCTCTTTGCACATACACACCAACAGCACCAATGATCCTTGCATCAGCATATAACTCCTCCTCTGGTGTAAATTGGCTTTGAAGTCAGCTCCATTTCCCCTCAAGTAGCAAACCCATCCCAGCTCATGCTGATCAAAGCTTTCCACTCATGATATAGTCTTTACACCAATAATTTTCCCAATAATTTAACACGATAGGAAAGTTATTTCAACACCATTGCCATTTAACACAATAAAACATATATTATTGGCTGTGAGTCTTCATGTACATAAATACAGGTATATTTCTATTGGGAAAAAAAAAAAGTAAAAAGCAAAAACTCACTTTGTGTAGTTTTTTTTTCCTGTAGTTGTCTCTTATGCAATTTGTCCCACTACCAGGTACTTGCTAGAAAAGACCAAATCAATGAACATGGTATGTCCACACAGACAGACACATGCAGTCAGTTCTAGAACATATAGACAGAAGAGAGGTATAGAAACACTAGATGATGACAGTGAACAATAAATTACTTACTATACTGTGGGAAGAGGAAAAGACCCATCCCTAAACCCATTTCTCAGCCCAAGACTAATTTCAACCTTTGTACAAATATAGCCTAAGTATACATACTAAACACATGCACACACGCTCCATCTAGAAAACAGCATTCTGGATACATAGACTTGGTATGCATGTGATAACTAAATTATTGACAAAACCACCTTTCATTCTTGCTCTTATTTTTAGTAACAAGATTTAGAAACACCAGCAAAAGATATGAAATGCAATCTTTATGAAACTCAGAGCTCCATCAATCAACCAAGGAAAAAACTCCCATCTTTGTAAGAGTTCAGGAAGAAAAAAAAATAAAATCTAAGTCTGCAGCAGAACGTAAATGGCATTCCAAAAGGTGTGTTGTTTCCATTATGCTTTAGGTTTGGGGGGAAAAGATTTAATGTGAGATGAGAGGCTATACTTTATAGAATGTCTAATTGACACAAAAAATAACAGTTATGTTTGTGAAAAATCAATAGAGAAAGATAAATTTGAAAATTAATAGCGATTTAAGCATTCAAGACTGTGAAACAGAATGACAAAACATTAATTACATTTAAGGCTGACATACTATAACAAATGACTTTGTAACTCACATCTGACAATACCAGATTTTATAGGAGAGAAATAATTTATAGGGACAATTAGGTACAGATTTAGCATCTGAACTTAATTTCTCACTTTTTGTCAACTTAAGTTATGGCTCTCTTATTTATTTGTATTTTAAAAATCACGACTCATTTTGAAGAATTCTTTTCTTGAAAGCTAGAATTGTATTGTACTTACGGTTACTAAAATATTGATTTGTAATATAGATCAGCAAATACAAGTGCTGATGTAGCTTCTTTCCCAAAGGAAACCAGAGCTCGCAATGGTCTTTACATATACTTAAATCTGACAATGGGAAAACTACAATTTTAATATTGAACCAAGTTTCAAAGTACCTGGGGATAGTTTGAGGCTATCAATTTTTCTTCACTGTGAAGAAAACTCTCTTTGTTAGAAACTCTCTTCATCCCCCCCCACTCCACAAACAACAGACCTTTCTGGCTGTTGGCTTATGCCCTGAAGCACCTCTACTTATTTTCCCAAGTGATACTTTGCAGAGTGTATCCATTCCTTTTCTTTGACTACTGAAGGTAATTTTTCTCATTCACGTTATTTAAAGTAGATTTACATTTGGAAGAGAAAACAATATTCTTTGCCTTCTCTACATTAGAATGTTCTAATATAAAGAAAATATAACTCAACTGAAAACATCAAGTATGTGTGCTTAACTCTGCAAGAACCGATGGAACAAGGGAAAAGATCCTACACAAGAAGAATTAATAGGCAAATGTATATGTTGTAGTATTAAAAAGACATACAACAAACATTCATGGTCTTGCTTTGGCTCTTTGAAGGATTATTATTCTAGAAGTTCAGATTTTGAAGCAAAGCATATTCAATTAATACTCCCATAGTGATTTAACTCTTCTGGTCATCTTGCTCAAGTCTACCACTTCCTGTGGAGGCAAACCTTTAATAAACAAGGTTAGCATTTAGAAATAAGGGTTCTCAGCAGCCTGACAACCAGTAAACCTATTACATTATCAACTGTAAGTCAGAATGGATGGGTAAGTTTTTCCATTTTGAAGCTCCAATTTTCCTCTTACAATATGTTAGTCATTGATGTTTTTACAGTTGTACCTTTAATTACCCTTTTTATCACTTCACAGAGTCATGAAATAAAGCTTGCATCGGTAAATATCATGAAAAATCCTTGTCTGACATTTTAAACTGACTTCTGAATGGAATATGCATTTTTTGCATTATGTTTATCGGTAAGGCTTGAGGTAACTTTCTTGTTACTAATAAGATTGGCTTTGCCATAGCATAATACTTGTATTTGATGTACCTAGATACATATTGAAACACACATGAATCAGAGATGGTTTCATACTTCTATGGGAGATTGATCTCCATGTGAGAGCTGTCATGTTCTGCGGAGGTAAGGGAAGAGCTGGCAGTGCTCCAAGCACAGCCACATCTGTAAAACTCATGTTAGCTCTCCTCACCCCCACACTTGCTTTGAGGACCACAGAGGAAACGTTTCATACACATCCCTCTCCGTCCTCCCCCAAAACCCCAAACAAAACAGGCATGAGGAAATTAAAGAAAGCAGGTCTAGAAAATTGCATAGATTATAGTAAGAACAAGACAGCTAACAGTAATTTTGAGGTGATGGTGTAGCTGGGGAGAGGAAAGTGAATGTAGTGTTGGAAAGCTCACATCAATCCTAGCAACACCGCCTTAGGAAGCTGACTTCAAGACTGTCTTTTATGAGAACCACATTTTTTGCTGAACGTTACTGTTCAAAGTAGATTACAGTGCTGAAGCTGCTCATCCCAAATGTACAAGTTTACACAGAAGAAAAC